ATGTTTTGAACATCTGGAGGAGGAATTTATCCGAGTTCAAAGACGCCACTTCCAAGGAGTTAGGTGGTTACTGCCCAGCTTGTGGCTCAGAAACATGGGTTGCGGGGCGACAGGGTGCGCAAAGTTAGTACTGATGCTGCGTGGTGCAAGAATACTCTTCGGATGGGTGTGGGATGGGTGTGCCATGATTTTGCGGGAATGCTCCAAGCAGCACGTGGGTTGGGCACCAGTCTCTATCATTCTGCTACGGCGGGAGAAGCTTATGCCATTCGCGAGGCTATTTTGGCTTGCACAAATCTCAGCTTTAACAAAATCATCATTAAATCTGACGCAAAGTCGATCATCAAGATGCTGAGGAAGGAATTGTCGTTCGATTTTAGTCTGGATTGTATTCTTGGGGATATTGAGGTTCTAACATGCAGGTTGATGTCGGTTTCGTTCACCTTTGTGTCTAGGGAGAGCAATTCTGCTGCTCACTCAGTTGCTAAGTATGTTTTCAAGCAAGGTCAAGAGTTTATCTGGGATTGTATTGGCTTGGATTTTTTTTTAACACTCTTGCTAAGGATGTAAACATTTCTATGCGTATTTAATGCACCTCTATCTTGGGAAAATAAATTAAATATTATGCCTCTTGGATTGGACTCCTACAGTCAAAATGTCAGAGAATGATGATGACCCAGGGCGCTGTCAGATGATGACAACCGCACAAAAGAGCTCGCCCTAGTTCTTATTGCCCTAGAATTAAACATGCAGTAACACAGCAAATAATTTCTCTCGGCAAGGCTTAAAATTAAAATGAAAATTTAACCGCCAATACCCCCGATTATTCCACATGTTGCCCCCTTATTTTCTTGGCATCGGCTGAACAGCCGAATGGTTAAGAAAATAATTTTTTATATATATATTTTTTTTACGAGGTCAGGATAGGGATGCTTGCTGCCCCCTATTTTCTTATGCATCATCGGCTCAAACAGCCCGATGGATAAGAATATATAAAAAGAAAACTGCAATCTAATATATGGTGATAAAAGTGGCTGATCCATGAGAAGGAGGAGGCCAACGATGCTTTATTCCAAGCCAAGATCTTTTTACATCAAAATTTCCACTTTGAGATTTTCCAAAGCCGAATAAAGATCATCTGCAAATATGTTCGGCTTGACGAAAGATTTTTTATCATCGGCCACCGAATGTGTTGAATAATTATTATGCCCCCCAGGCATAATAATTTTGCCAATTTCAGCTTTTAACTCAGATAACTTAGCCGAATGGGATTTCCCCATATTGGCTTTATTGCCAATAATCATATCGATTGACGTAGTTTTGGCGTCTAAGACCATGTCTTGCCCCTGTTCGTCTTTGGAACACTCCTCTGATGGATCATTTTCTAAGTCAATTTTTGGCTCAAAAACTTGAACGTTTTCTTCTAGGCCTACCACACTTTCAGTCTCTACCGATAAAATAAGTGGCCTAGGTTCTTCTTCGGCCGTCTTGACCATCTTCTTAGGCCGAATGTTGTTTGTGACCGGAGTGAAAAATTGCCCCCCGGCCTTTGGACTTAACCATTTTTCAAATGGAAATGATCTGTAATAAGAAAGGTAAGGAAAACGGTCATCATCTAGCCAGGCATTAAATCGAGCCCTGTCTTCATTTACCCATTGCTCTTGCAGGGTAAAAGGAGCTTTTATTCTCAACATGTAAGCAAATGACTTTTGCATCTCTCTATGGCCACGAAGAACTTTTTGCACTTCCAAAGATCTTTTACATTCCTCATTGTGTTTTTTCAATTCCTCTACGAGCTCGTACAATCGGCTACGTCGAGCCAGATTGGAATCTTGATATATCATATGAACTTCGTAGTACTAGCATTGGGTCCCACTGGGCATGCCAAAATGTTGACTCTAAAAACTACCAAGCCTACGTGGCGCACAGGTCGAGTAATCTATGAGCTAACTACGTCCTTCGGTTGAATGCGGGGCGCGCCAACTCGTTAGCCGAGCTCGGCTAAGGAGTAAAATATGCTGATGTTGTGTTGGGTGCTCGGCCTTCGGGCTCTAAAGCCTGAAGACAAGGCTACTAGTTCTGTGAAGTTCAATATCAAATTCGGCTTTCAATGTGCCGAATGTAATAACTTGTAACACCTCACTTCGCCGAAAAGGCTAATGAGATGACCTATGCCAGTAAGGATTTGAAAATCCTTCTCGACCGAGACTTGGATAGATAACCAGTCGGCCCCGTCGCAGTGCTATTTATCCAAATTGAAGGTGCTTCACGATCGACTGATTCTACGGTAATAGTGTTGTTTATCCAAATTGAAGATGTTTGCCGATTACCTTCACAGTGCTGTTTATCCAAACTGAAGGTGTGTCGACGAAAAGAGAAAAGAAAAAAAATCTCAAGGTTGTTTGAGAGAATTTGCGCAGGGCAGTTATGTGTTGAATTAGAGGTCCTCCTCACGTTGCTAATACCCCGATACTTATAATGCCAGTAGGCTTCAGTGCTTGTTGCTTGTCGTGAGTATCCCGCGTGCATAAGTAATATTCCTAAGAATATTAGATAATCTCTCATGTAGGCGCTCCCACTTTTTTGGGATGTGATAATGCATGAAATCCCATCGACTTGGATTTTTAAACATATGATAATGCAGCTCCAGTGGATATAATGCATGCAATTGCATCAAAACCAATCAACGCCTACCATTATTTGGAGGCAATCCAAATTAATGGTCCAATCCAAGTGCCATGCATAATAATAGTGAATTATCATGCCATGACCTAATCCAAACAGATTTGATGCTATCCAGATGCCAGTCATTACCATGCACGACTCTTCACTTGTGGCTTCTCCAGATGTGGTGTATCCCAAGCAGACCCGCATAAAGAAATAGAGAAATCCTCATTCAACTCTTTCTCCACGCATGCATTAATCTTTCTGCCAGTTAATATCCATTTGCCAACCCAAAAACCATGCATTAGGATAAAATCCAAACCAAGCCTTATCTTTGATCTTTTGATCCGATAGCATTTCAATCTTTTGTACTCCTTAATTATCTCTGCACTTTTGAAATAATTTTCCATAATTCCTCCGATAACATTATGATTATCATAATAATATCTAGACAAATTATTAATCAATCATCTCAATCTTCTTTCAATCCAACGGCTCAGAATTTTACTCATTCTACGGCCTCGATTGCTCGGGCCGATAGTGTAAAATATGGTCCAAACAATGTTTTTCTGCGTTATACCTGTTGAGATGTTTATGGCATGCTAGAGATTCAGAAAACCTATCACTTATTATGCTAGTAGTTTTCATTATATATAAACCTAGGGTTTATTATGTTCATAACTGTTTTCGTATTATACATATGATATATATAAACCTGGTCAACTCACCTTTATTTTGCGACCCCTTTTAGGATTTAGAGTTGAGGTATACGATCCCTACGTCAACGCTTTCGCATTGTCATATTCGAGTCCCCTCGGTGTAGGACCTACATCCTCTTATTTATTTAATTTTATATTAATTCTTTTAGAGCTCTAGTTAGTTGTATGCTCTGAACACGTTCCAAAAATTTTAACTCGTCGTATTTTAAATTCATAACCCTTATTTATTCTTATTCTTAGCTTTTGTATCAATTAATGGCTTTTGTCACCCTCGGGTGTCGGCCAACACGTGTCTATCCTGGTATTCGGGGAATATCAGGGTCGAGGCATGTCATGGAGTGATGCTATAGATAGCTTCTACTTGAGCCATATTTTGTGACCACATGATTATATAGTAGTTAATGGTTGGACTACTTCTTTAAATCACCAAAGAAGGAATCCAATCATCAACGGGGTCACATTATGTGGTCTCTAAAATATGGTCTAAAAACATAGTATCCCTAGCGTTTTTTATTGACTTGATATTGAAAGGCTAATTTCTCTTAATCCTCTTTAATTTTTTATTAATTACTTTCTATATTGACTTGAGAATGGAAGGTTAACTTCGACATTGGAAAACCATTTAGAGCCTCAAAAATAATTAGCTCACAACTCCAAGCATGTATTATTTAATTTTTTAACATTTATGTAAGGCCCCTCCTCACCTAAAATCCTAGCTCCACCACTGAGTACTGTTCGAGTTGTCTCTTTTTTCAAACTTAATTTGTTTGGCTTTGAGCCCCGGTATTTCCCCTACCCACCCACACCCAACCAAAAGAGGGGCTGATATTCAATAAAAAAAACGAGTAGGATTATCTTCCCTTCAAATTCTCTTCCCTCCCGTCCCCTCTCTCTTTTCTCTTTTTCTCTCTCTATAAAGAAGTTAACACAAAATGTTGACATGATTTTAGTGTGACCTTTAAATATGAGAGGACTGCAGGGGAAGAGAATTTGGAGAAAAGGAAATCCTACTAAACAAAGGTATGCTAGTTCAATGCGCGCGTTAAATGGTATTAAAAAAACAAAAAAAAGGTTCAGGTTTGTGAACTTAACCTAATAAAGCGAGGAAATAGCCCTCTTTAAAAAGTCAAAACAACCATAATGGTTTGCTTTACTATTTTAGAGAAGATTACGTAGCCAAAACTTGAGGAACATCACTAAACATAATGATCACATATTTCTGGATAGTTTTCCTTTTGGTGCTTCTAAAAATGGATAAAGGGACTATTTTTAGAAAGAGAGAAACAGGATAAACAACATGGAAAAGTTTTTACAGAGGCATGCATGCCCATAGTTGAAAAGGATTTTAGAAATAAAATCCCTACATAGAAGGACTTGGGAGTTCTTCCTGGAGGTCCTTCTATGCGACTCTGAGAGAGGCTTCCCCATAATATGGCCATTGCAGGAACAAGATCATCTGATACGATGGGCCTGAAGGGTGGTGTTATTCTTCTCGGCTTTGTTGCCTTTGCTTTGTTTTCTTGTGTGGCCGATGGTTTATCCGGTGCCGACCGTCTCTTGGGGGAGGGGGAGGGTGTCCGTCGTAGCCTGGCCGAGAACGAAACTGCCTGGGTGAGCAGTAGAGATGCTACATGTTTCAAAACCAGTATTTAATTCTTTGGATTCCATTAACATGATGATGTTATATATATTATACTAGAATGGCGTTTACCATATGATTAATTTGATGACTGAAATTTAAAAAATATCAGGGTCAAAATGTCATAAGTTGCATTCCTTATTCCTTGCACATTTCGAGAGTGTCTATGATCTTAGCATCTTGTTGGCCGCAAACTCTACAAAATGAAAGAAAATTTAGATCAAAAATGTTATTCTTATTATCTATTTATACCATTTCTTTAATAGTGATGAAACTCACATATGTTGATGGACTCTATCTCTATTAGAGTTGATACAAATGATGGTACGAATAGATCGTAAGTGTAACACTACTCAATTTAAATTAGAATTCGATCGCCTCATTATAATATATGATGCCAAAGTTACAAAACCAAAATATAATAAACCAAAAAATATATGTTTCATAATTCATAGTTCCCTTCTTAAAACAAACATATTATAGTAAAAAATTATGGAATAGTATTTGAACATATTGATTCCTCAAAACTTCATTTTACAATATCGACAGAAATTATAAAAACAAGGTTTTAAATTTGTAGTTTATTGTTAGTGGTGGATTGTCTTATTGATTAGGGTCTTTTTCTTTAACTCACTTAAGCACCGTGATGTGGGACATTTATTTTTAAATCCACAATCCAAGTTCCAACAAAGAAAAAAATTGAAGTTGCACATAGATGAATGGAATATGAAGAAGAACATGGAAAATGGAAAGACATTCTACAACTTGGCATACACCACAAAGTGCAGAAAATGGTAAGCATAGAAGCAAGCATCTCCAACAGAATCCACAAAACTAAATTTGAAGTACCATGTAAGACTTTTGTGCTCAAACAAAATTCTTAAATGATTTTTCAAATTTAAAAAAAAAAATGTCATATACTCTCAAGATTTAGACTCTTTACCACACTATTCAAACATTCATTTTATTATAATAATGTGTCTTTATCATACACTCTAAATTTTTGTACTCCCACTAAGTTACCTAGTATTACTATTAAAAACTATTAAGATTTGTGAACCTTTTGGAACAAAAGTGTGAATCAATAAATTTTAGTTTTTAAATTGTCATATAGGCCAATAAACTTGTATTAAGGATCATATTTATAGAAATTGTTGGAGATGCTAGTAAAAAAAAAAAAAAAAAGTATTCAACTGAAAAAGTTTTCCCTTTCCTTTTTGACAGGGACTGTTCACAAGAAATGGATCCCCACATCAACTATTCACAAATATCTATACTGACAATAGCCACAAATATCTAACAAAAACTATGCACAAATACAAAAATAGTTTTAAGCTCTCGTTTGATAATTATTCTAGTTTTTAATTTCCATTTTTCTTTTTGTAAAACCTTGTATAAAAACTGTCTTTAATGTTTAATTTTCCGAAATGATAACTGAAAACAGAATTCAAGCAATTTTTATTTTTTGGTATTGAATTTACCATCCACAATATTTGAACTTAAACCCTTTTACTTTCAAATGAAGAAGAATACCATCAGACCGTGTACTGAATAGCTCTCAAGCAAAATATTAAAAAAATACAAAATAATAGCTTCTAATTCTCAATTTAATTATAAAAAATAAAAATAAAAATGAAAAAATTGTTAAACAACTCCTACAAAACCCCATTCTTATTGAAAAAAAAAGTCATATAAACTACCTATGTCAATCACATTAGGAATTAACTTTATATAAAACTATTCTTGCCGGCGACGATGGTAAGTGTTAAACCAATCCAGTTATGAAATGTCATGCATGTGTGTCATGCACATAGTTTGATATGACAATTTTATGAAAGCTTTTCTCTGCATTATGTGACAAGGAGTGTGTTAATTACTAACTAGGCGTTGTATAATTCGCGTGACATATACGTAGACTCCACATGCCACATAATCTAGCTAATATAGTTTAAAAAAAAAAAAAAAAGGGGGGGGGGGGGGGGGGTAAAAGAAGATTAAAATGTGTATAATTTGGTGAGAGGCATGAACAACACTCCAAAAACATATCACGAGTCATTACAAGACAGCCAACCTGTTTCTTCCTCCCCCATTTCTCTCCTCCTAGTAGAGACAACAGCCTACCTTCTGCCTTCTGCTAATTATTTCCACACCTCTCACTTTCTATGCGAAACCAAGCCCTCCAAAGTTGACCAAACAAAAAGGCCTCCAACTTAAGTGCTTTCTGTGCTGAAGTGCTTTTTCCAACCATGGTTTTTAACAAGTCACTGAAGTTTGTTCTTGCCCCCTCTTTTCTTGTCCTGTATTTTAATTCCATTAATTTGCATGCCCTTAACATTGGTGTCCAAGCCACAGATGCCTCCGTTGTTCTGGTTTGCTCCTTAATTACCATCTTCTTCTTTCTTCATCTAATTACTTTTAATATTTTTTGGGTTTTCAGTTGCTTTCAAATCATAACGTGTTCTCTCTTCCCATGAATTCTAAAAATTTGCAGAGTAAAGATTGCAGCAGAGAATGTGAGTCAGAGTTCTGTACAGGTACTACATATAATTTAAGTAAATTTTTGGTTTAGTATAATGAGCTGATCAAATTAAACATCCCCTTTTCTTGGTCCTATTATAAGGAAATTAAATTGCATTTTTTTTTAAATTTAATTTGGCAGTGCCTCCATTTTTGAAATATGGGAAGTATTGTGGGCTTTTATACAGTGGATGCCCAGGGGAGCAACCCTGTGATGGCCTTGATGCATGTTGTATGAAGCATGATAACTGCGTTCAATCCAAAAACAGTATGTTCATTTCTTAATCCTTACTATCTTTACTGTGCTGCTCTCACATTATTATTTTTCATTTTTATTTAGGGTTGAAATATTTTGGACTGAGGCTAAATTTTAATATATATATTCTACTCCAAATTATCTGAGTTAGTGTAGGAAGATTTAAATAGTGGCATGAAAATACAAACAAGAGTTGGTAAAGAAGATATTTATATGGAATAGCCATATCTATGTTATAAAATGCGTGAAAGAGACACTTTGATGAGCTTTTTCAATTGTCGGTGAGGTGATGATGTTTCGGGTGTTGATAATGTTTTAATTAAGTGTTTCGTATTTGACAAAACAATCCCAAAGTTTGTTTGGAGTTCTTTGTGTACAAGATCTATACCAAACGCTAGCATCTGTCTTTTAGAACGAGAACACATGAATGAGGATCCTCTCCAGATACTCTTTGTCAGCATCATGAGATCCTCAAATTATCTCCGTTTATCGTATATTATGCGGTAAAAAAATATTTTAAATACTTTTATTTAAAATTAGATATGAATAGTACCTGACAAAAATTGACCGCACGATATACGATAAACGAACACGATTTGAGAATCCTTACAAAGAGGATCGGAGAGGATCCTCATATAGAACACATGACGTCATATGCACTTAATTATTTGAGCTACAAAAAATTTGTTGCTCTTGTTTATTTCAGTTTTTTGTTTGTTTGCAAGAACAACTTGGATGCAACGGGTTATTATCGCGTAACGACTCGATCCAATAACACAGTATCACAATGTCATGTGAAGAAATACTTATACACACGATTACATGTTATTTGAAAAAGCCACGAAACTAATGAATCTGTTCCATTGAAGTCTCGTTGCTCCTATTTATTTTCAATTTCTTGTTTGTTTGTAAGAACAACTTGCATCTCACATCTTGCATGCAACAGGTCTATTGTCACATAGTGACTTGATCCAATAACACAGTGTCACAGTGTCATGTGAAGAAATACATATACATAATGCTATATTATTGGATCAAAAAGCCACGAAACTGATGAAACTGTTTCATTGAAGTCTTTTTTTGTATATGGGAGATTAGATTTGTAAATGCAATAAGAACTAAGAACAGTATAATTTAAACGGTGGCATATTGTTATGTTTGTGGTGTAGATGACTATCTAAGCTCAGAGTGCAGCCAAACGTTCCTAAATTGCATGGCAGAGTTCAAAAACAAAAGAGGGAAAACGTTTAAGGGGAACAAATGCCATGTTGAGGATGTTGTGGAAGTTATAACCCTTGTCATGGAGGCTGCTTTAGTTGCTGGAAGATATCTCCATAAGCCTTAACACCGCAGCAGCTACCCTCTAGTCATTTCTAATTGTTTCACAACTTCGTTTTCTTCTTCTTTTTTCCTTATTTTTACGTGTTCTTTCTTCCTGCATTACTTAAATCGAAAAAAAAAACAAATTTAATTCTGAATTCTCACAAAAAATGCAACAAATTTTCATAGAAAGATTTGAAGAATGTAAATTTATGCTTAAATTTTGCAGATGCCAAGGTTGAGATGGTGTTGTTATCCATTTCTCCTTCTCTAAGTCTAATATTGCACAATGCACACCATGAAAGACACTAATTCCAATAACTAATCAAACCTCCTAAGTCTAATATTGCACAATGCACACCATGAAAGACACTAATTCCAATAACTAATCAAACCTCAGAATTATAAATTGGTTGGCAGTCCCACATCGGTGGGGGAGGTCAACAAGGGTGGTTCTAAATATGACAGATTAGGCAGATTAGGCAGGTGGTAAAGTTGGAAACAGTATAAGTGTCATTAGAGTGGGGCCCCTCGGGCCGGTCGATTTAAAAAATTTCAATATGGTACTAGAACCTACGGTTACAGGCCCGTGCAAGCCAAAGGCTTGTCACAAGGAAGTGTGGGCATGGAAACAAGCTTGAACTTTTAACATAGAGCTGGCCTCTGAGTTCTTAAGAGGCATTCTTGAAAAAGACTGAAAACAAGTTTGGACTCCATAGGAGCCGACCTCTGAGTTTCAATTGCCGATGTGTGGGTCTCCACGTGTGACTAAATGGGGTTACACATGAAAGGGCGTGTTGACAGTCCCACAACTCTAACTAATACCGAGGCCTTTTGTGGTAAAACCCCACACCTGACATATTGGGCATGTGGTAAAGTTGGAGACAGTATTAGTGTTCGTTAGAGTGGGGGCCCCCAAGGCCCATCGATCTAAAAAATTTCAACATAACTCAAAAGTGATTGCTGCATATATATGTATTACCAAATACAACAACAACAATAAAGCCTTATCTCACTATGTGGGGTCAACTATCATAAAGATTCGACGTAAGAATGGAGTTCCGGCTATCGACTACCTAACATTCTCCCCCTCCTTCTTTATCTGGGCTTGGGATTGGCAGTGCAAGATAAACTTGCCCAAGTGGAGTTATATATATGTATTACCAAATAAGGAATAAAAGTATATTTGGCAAAATGTTTGATTTGAGATATCTAATGTTGTGCAAACCTCTCAGTAATTACCTATCTTTTAAGTCTATGAGTGACATAATTGAAATATTGAACTTATGATTCCATTTTTAATATAGGGAAATGTAAACCACACGCTATTTTTCTGCTTTTATACCTCTTCATTTTTGGACATTAAATTGAATAAATCAAATGAAAACAACCAACAAGATCAAATGGTTGGGTAGGGGGAGACAAAAAAGGTGTGGTTACCATAATCCTGGCAATTTTTTTTGGGAAATAGACAAAAATGACCTATTTTCTTAATCTTTAGACATAAATAGGACACACTGGCCATGCACAAGCCATGAACACTATGCACAAAATGGAAATTACTAAAATACCCACATATAAATACTAAAACCCTCAGCTCATTGCATCATTTTTCTCATTTGGAAGAGAGGGATGTCGAGAAAGCTTTGTGAGCTCTGAGTTTTTGGGTTGAGCTCATATATCGGATTTTGAAGAGAAGCAAGTCGAGAGTGAAGCTTCGAAGTGACGGTTTCTAGTTTGCATTAGTGTTCAATCCTTAAAGATATAACATTTGTACCAGATTTTCTGTTTTGGTCTTGAAGTTCCATTTTTTCCAACAAGTGAAGCTTCGACAGCCATATGGTTCTTCTCTCTCTCATCTATTTCTCTCTCTAACTCGATCATCATCTCCATTTCTGCATCTAATTACTTGTTTTTTCAATTGGTTTTTTGGATTTGCAGAGATGGGAAGTCGAAGAAAAGAGGGATAGAGAAGAGATGGCTTAGAATGTGTTTTGAAAATTTTCATTTGTTTGTGGGTTTTGTTATTTTAGTTCCAAATTTCTACATCAAGGATTTATGAAATAAATGGGTTGGTTGTAAGATGAATTAATACTTAGAAGTTAAATTAGTGTTTCTGTTTCATGTTGAGGCCTATGAATTTTGGAATAAACTTTACTTTTTGATGTGCTACAAAACTGGGATTGAAGAATTTTTGGTTCAAGTGTTCAATTGCAGAAATTTGTGAAAAATATTGTGCTTGTGGTGTGCATGGCTACAACTTAACATGAGAAGCAGGAATGTTCACTAGTTATAATGCACGTATGGGCCCCGAAATTTAGCAAGTATGACCACAACCTAGTTAGCCTCAGCGAAAAATAAAATTAAGAAAAAGATTGGAGGACGTTAAGGGTCAATCGTGTCCATGAAATCACGACAACGAGTTAGTATCATGTTTTCCATGTGCACGGTTAAGCGGTCGTTGATATACATAACAAGACTTTTCAAACTACTACTATAACCTTATATATGTAACAATTATGTGTTAATTGTATCCACAATACAAATAGGTTGCCATTAATATTTCTTATTAATGCGAAAAGCAGCTCGTTGCTCGATCTCCAGTTCTGTGCATATCATGTGCATATAATGTACATATGTTGTGTATATAATGTATATGATGGTGACGTCACAAGTGATGATGTCATTTTTCTAATTTTGAAGGGAGTTGTGAACTTTGGGTTTTTGGGTTGCTCAGATCTGTGAGCATGTAGTGTGCATGTCATTGGGAAGAGATGATTTTTAATGGGATTTCCTAAATCTAGGTTCAAGTCAAAGATTTGTAAACTACATATCTTTAAGGAATTTCCATAATCTAGATCCCACATATCCCCCAAAGCCGTTAATTGCACGATGCACGTCCATAACAAACCAACGTCATTGCACATATTGATACAAATAAGAAATTTGGGATTTTCTTGAACTTAGAAGGAGAAGGCATTCATCGGCGGAGGAGAGAGAGAGATTGCAGCAGAAAAAAAAGGTGTTTTTAGTTTTTCATAATGGATTTCCTTTGACATCTGAAATTTTTTGGTACTGTAGATTGGATTTGACCCATATGGGTTTTGAATGAGATTTCAAATTTGGGGAAAAATATGATGATTTAAGGAAGAAATCCCCAATCTGCAATATGCAACTACCGGCTGAAGAAAACTTTTGTCCTAGCTAAGAACATGTGAGAACATTTGAACACATATGCAAACTAATAACACATTAAAGTAGGCATGCATTGAAAAACAATTCTAAGACCCATGACTTTCAAAGCCTAGTGAATGGTGAACCACAAGACTCTTTAACAATATTAAATAGAAGGAAGGATTTAGAGATTCATTACCCTTGAAGCTCATCCTTGTTTACACAAGGGATTCACCCAAGTGAAGGACCTTCAAGTCACCTCCTAGCTCCTTGGATCTTCCTTGTGTTTTTCTTCCTTTTGATGCTCCTTTGCTACTTGAGGATGTGAGGAAAGGATCTCCAAGAACACCAAAGATTTGGTGTCTCTAAGTCACCACACCAAAGATGAGGTGTGAAGATGAAATGGATGACTTAGAGAAGAAAAGATTGCTAGCTAATTCTTCCCTAAGTGGCCGGCCTCCTTTTAGAAAAGAGAGAAAGTGTTTCTCTTCTTTGCCTCAAGAAAACCCTTATGAGAAAAAGCTATAAAGTTGACTTTATACTACATCACATGTGAGTGGCAAACTTGTTATTAATTCAAGTTTGCATCCACTCACCCTTATGGCTGGGCTTGTCTTTGTTATTGGGCTAATTGCCCATTTTGTTTTAGTTGTCATACAACTTAAACATAATGGGCTTTATGGACCAAAAACACTTTTGGGCCCCGAAACCCAAAACCAACTTAAAAGCCCAATGCGAACCTTTCGTAAAATTAATTACCTAATTAATTAATCTTGACCATTCTCCATTAAACCATTTAATCGCTTATCCATCTCATTTATATTTCTTCACTTTCATCCTTACCCGGTGTACGATCCATTAGATTCAAATTAGTGAGGCAATGGGCGATTGTTACTCTTAACGATCGATTGTGAATTGAAACAACATTTCAATTCTCCCTTTGTTGAAGATTAGTGTTTGCTAATCTTCAGGGATTCCACAAACCATGAGTGACACCTAGCAGTATGTCATGGCTACCCAAGCTAAGTAGAAGTGGTTGGAGAACCTATCCAGGTACAATTACAATGCAATACGGTCCTTTTTTAATACAATACTCTTAATCACATTGTTTGAGTGATAGTTTGTTTCATGTCTACTATCCAATGTGATACTTCTTTATATGATTCAATTGAATATGATTTGGAACAAACTTCCTATATGATTCAATTGAATATGATTTGGAACAAACTTCCTATGTCATATTCATATGCTTTGGCCAAAGACTCCCGAATCATATCTTAGAGTATTCTCCCTCTAACATGGAAGGTTAGAGATCCCTTATTGTGCATTCATATGCCTATATGACTAGACATCTTGACCCCAACAATGTCATGGACACTCTCGATGGAATGCCTTTGACATGATCAAAGATCAAGGACCTAACCATTAGACATCTATGATGCCTCAGGTCAAATGACTACTTTGCATATTGCAACTAACAAGTTCTGACATGACATGTATGTTCGAACTCTCTTTTGATCGTTGTTTTGTGTACTCAATTACCCTTTCGAGCACCTACGTGTTTGTCTTAGTGTCCAACACTAAATACAATAATTAGTGATTAACAATAAGCTTTGCCTTTCATTAAACATATAATAGTTTAATACAATAAGTATTCCAAAAGCTATTACCTCAAATGAGTGGCTTTGTGGGCATACTTCCAACAATCTCCCACTTGCACTCAAAGCCACCTTCAAATGTATCTAATACCCATCTTTTCCATATGGCGGTCAAGTTGGATTTGAGACATTGGCTTTGTCAGTGGATCTGCTACGTTATCGGCTGAGGCAACCTTGAGGATGTTGACTTTCCCTTCGGTAGCATATCTTCTAATGATATTAAAGTGCCTGTCAAAATGCTTGTTCTTTTGATGTGCTCTGGGTTCCTTGGCATCACCCCACTATTATCACAGTACAAAGTTACTAGTGATGTAATGGTTGGAACCACTCCAAGTTCAGTTATGAACTTCTTCATCCAGAACGCTTTTTTGCCAATTTCAGCTGCAGCGACATATTCTTCCTTTGTCGTGAAATCAGCAATTACATCTTGTTTCTTGCTTTTTCCAGCTAACAGCCCCACCA